TGGTCACCCAAGAACGCCATGATGCTCATACGTGCATTTGGCGCCTGTGTGACACATGACACATATCATAATATCAGTAATAGGAGGGACGGGCAACCATCAGTCAACATGTGCACAGCACCGTGGGTGTCAACTCACCCGTCTCTTCGTTGGAACGGCCTCATTCTCCGCTTCTTCGTCGGACCCATCCATCTGCTTCGGAGGCTGTCCTGTTCTCGTACGCCCTGGCACGGTGGGACCATTGACCACCGCCTTCTCAAAGTTTCTCACATCCTCTTTCGTCTCCAGGTCAGCACGCACGCACCGTGATAGACGGGGCAGGAAACGCACCCAACTCCTGTGCGAGCTCGCGCTCCGCGCGGATCGCCTTCGCCTTTTCCATACTTAGGCGCCCCGTCATGCCGAGCTCGGTAAGCAGAGCCTTAAGCCGGCGGATCTGCCCGCTCTTGTCGTCCATGATGTCCTTAAACTCTTTGCTCCACACCTTGCGCGTGCCACAGGCGGTCACAAAAGACTTCGGGCATGCAAAGACAGAAGTAGTAAGCGTGTGCCTGCGTTGGTGGGAGTATGGAGAACAGCACCTTGAGACGCTTGATCTCTGCGTCTTGCGGCGACTCATCCACGTCTTTCGCTTTGCGCTTGCGGCCTGTGGTGGCCTTCTACAGCTTATCAGTTGACTATATGCGTATCATATGATAAGTTCAATCGCTTACCTTCGAAGATTCCTGCCGGATGCAATCAACTTCCGATGGTGACCGACGTGCAGAAAATCATACTTACATCTACCTTCTTCCCCCGTTTGCGCTTCGGCACTTCGTCTTGGTCTTCAGAATCGCGAGCGTGCTGCTACATGCGCCCACAATGTTCAGCATCACAGAAAGACGGAGGTAGTCTAGGCTGAACATACCCGATTGGTTGGTTCTGGCCGCGATGCTGTTCAGCCGTTTCGCTGAGTTCGATTCGCGATAAGTTGAGCTGGTACACCTACCAGGCTCATCAACTTCTGATGTCGGCTCCTGCGTGGAGCCCTCGGCCTGCTGTATTTCAGCGCTAAAGAGATTGCAGCACATGATCGCACGCACTGGTGTAGGTGGCTCTTGGGTGATTGGGCTAGACACTTCGTTTGAAGACTTTAATTTCGGTTTGTCATCTCCCTCCTCGTCCGAGGACGGTACAATTGACTAGAAAATGTTAGGTCAAGCATCGATCTGTCCTCGGGACACAGAGACCACACTCGTACCGCAGACCGCACGACCTTCTGACCTTTCGGGTTCTTGAGGCCATCTTTAGGTTTCGACTTCGAAGTAGAGGTAGAGCTGGGTTGATCCCTTGCCCTGGTGGCTTTCTCGGACTTCTCGGCGCGTGACTTCTTTCTGTTCTCTGCGACAGCCGCATCTGACTTGCGTTTCTTGCTCGGCGCTGGCTCCTTCTCTCCCTTTTCCTCATCAGCCTCCATTCTATTGCCCTTAGAGTCTCTCTCGTTCTCCAGATCTTCCTATGACATGGAGACAATCTTTAACGACCAACAACACGCTGCTAGGCCTGATACGCACCATGGCCTCTGCCGTTACAGCCTTCACCGCATCCTTAAACTCTCTCGCGTCCAAGGACCCTTCATTCAGACCTAGCTGCTTCTCAATCCTCTGGCGAATCTGACGCGGCGTAATCTCGCTGTTCCGCAACTCAGCAGCTCGTTCCTACGTGTTTGAAGCGTGCGGGGCACTCACTGCAGTGTATTGTCCTCGGAAGCCTGGCGGACAATATCCTTCGTCGCAATCCTCACCTCCTCGATGTCTATTTCTGCCATAAGACAGCTTTGACAATGTCAGGCGAATATGGCGCGGTGGAATGAGGACAAGCACGAGACGCGCCCCTGCGCACGAGATGTCACACCGTCACGTCTCGTGATGGAGCGCGTCTAGCAGGTTTAGCGCTTTTTTCACGCGGGTCAGACCGACGCGTCGGGTGTCGGGACGCCACAAAGCTAGCCAAATAGCATCAAATTCACATATGACTGCGGTTTGATCCGCGCCGCCTGACTTTGAAACGTTTTGAGTGGACCGGGACAGTAAGGCCTCGCTCAACGCTGTCTACAATGCAACAGAGCGGGATCAGGCTACCCCCGGGTCTGGCTCGCGTGGCGGATGGTGCATCGCTAACTTTGCGGGATTCGTTGCACAGCTGAAGCTCGGCGAAAAGTATTTACCGCGCTCTTGTTACGTTTCAAGGCTTGCAAAGTGAGCGTGTCCTCTTATCAGGCAGCAATCGATATTCGATATTGGAGCTCTATTTAGATCCTCTTCCTGATCAATGGGAGCAGCAGCTGAGCGACAGCAGTAGACAAAGGTGTATACGAGTGGAGCTTTTGATTTCAAACACTGTACTTAATACACAGTTCCAGAGCGATGTCCATTTACTACGATTCTAGCCGTGTCGCAGACGTATTTCGAGGCGAGTACGTCAGTGTAGCGGAGGAACCGGCTGATCGATGCAGTGCTCCATCGACCACCTTGACTCTCGCTTAGGCTTAGCTTCTTCAGAGCAAGCGAGTCGCTCGCTGGCTTTGCGAAGTCTTCTCCCTGTTGTTGTACCCACAAAGGGCATTACTCGCCGCTCAGTTGGGCGTATAAATAGTGTCGGCACTCTTCATTGCCAGACCACCAACGCACAACAGATCCCCTCGTATACTACAAGACAAGATGACGGTTTTTGTCCCGAAGATCACATGCCCCACTGCTGACACCGTGTGGACTGCTGGGAGCACCTGCACTGTTACCTGGTGTGTACTATTTCCTATATCATGTTTCTTCTTCGTTTGCTGAGCGACGTACTACAGGGACACCTCGGACGCCCCCGAGTCCATTAGTAACGGTTCCAAGGTCGTTCTTGCTAAAGACGGCCTGCAGGATTACCGTAAGCCTGACCTCTAAAACACGCTCTCATTTCTCACCTCCGGCCTCGCGTCTGTCAGAGCACCCACTCGCCGAGGGATTCGATCTCCGTGCTGGCTCTGTCCAGATCACGATCCCGGCTGATACTGCTCCGGGCTCGGATTATGCCATTGTCTGTAAGTAACACCTGCCACACTCTATCCGTTCGGTCGCATGTTAATCCACCGTGACAGTGTTTGGAGACTCCGGAAACTACAGCCCCAAGTTCACTATCAAAACGTAAGGAGGCCATCGTGATGCTACGTGGCTGCAATACTCGGCACCTGAGGGGTTGGAAAGGCTAGTTTGTAGCGTATATAATGAAACATCAAATCGTATCGCGTTTTGTCCTCCAAGCACGCTTCGTACTCATTCTCTATGACATCAAGCGAGTAGCCGCAACCATTCCAGAGTCAGGACGCTTACTGGTGGGTACGTCGCTCGCCTATCCTATCCTGGGGAGGCTCTCGTTCCTGTGGTTGCACTTGCGGAACGCGGCGTACTCGGCTGCCTCGTTCGGCTCTACGGGACCATTGAAAACAGCGTCTGGATCTGTAAGCTCTTGCAGAGAACGGTGCCAAATCTGATCTGCCAGGAACTAGCTGCCATTTGCTATGTCACTCGGAACTATCGAGATGGCCGAAGGGTCCAGAGTTTGTAGAGTATACGTAGGGGTCCGGTATTCGCAAGAAAAATGCAAGCTGGTATGATACAACGCTTGAACCCTCGTAGCTTGGCTATAAGACACAGCGAGGCCACTAGCAATACAATAAAAATAATGAATGCGGTGCTCATGCTACAGGTCCAGCTCCCTTGCTGATACTGAATGTCGGCTCTGGAGGTGTGGGCAGAGGGCGTCTGGAAGGCGTACGCTGCGAACTCCTGTGAAACTGAAAGCCGGCATCCAACGGTGAATAGTACCTCGGCGGGAGATCCAGCTCTCGCATGGAGCTGATGTCAATCACCCGGTCGTCCAGGTACGCATTGTGCTCATCGAGCGGCACGATACGCACTGGCTGTGGCAGAGTGCGCCGTGGCGCAACCTCGGCCGAGTCGCCCGAAGTGTTCGCGTAGCCTGAATTTGCAGTGATTCGGGTTACAGCCGCAGAGTGAGCGAAGTCGATCGAGCTCTCGCCTAGTTCTGCGCTTGGTGCCTCCATAAACGGCTCATCCTGGTCCACAGCATCTCGCTCGACCAGCGTCTGCAACGAAAACTTGCGATGTTCTTTCTGCTTCGAGCCTTGTTTAAACACGGCATGTCCCTTGCGCAGCGCACGCCGCGCTTGGTACCGCATGAAGAGGAATGCGCCGAGCAGGCTGACGACGATGCTACCCGCGCTTGAAACGGCCGCGACCCATGGTTTGATTCGGAGCGTCTCCGACCTATACAAGCTCATTTAGTCGCCATCAATAGAGAAGGAAACGGAAGAACGTGCCCGTTCGAGTCAAGACATGCGGTACTCGCCCCGGATCCGCTATGCAATGGACCCTGTGCCCAAAGCATGCCCGACGAATCGGTAAGAGAGATGAAAAAAGAGCTTCCCCACGACTAAGTGTCACATTCAGGAGTTAGAGTGGTGGAGAATGCAAGGAGGAAGGAGACAGCTG